GAGGAGAAGGAGGTGGAGGAAGAGGAAGAGGAGGAGGAAGAAGAAGAAGAAATAAAGAAGACATCAGATAAAGAGTATAGCAAGGTATAGACAAGTCTAACCATATCTATTACATACAATGGCCTACACAGGTATAGGTAGAAATTTATAAATTGGATGAAGAAGCCAGATTTAATCTAATATTGCTTAGAGAAAAAAATGCATTTTAAACAAGAAGACACAAATAGGTCAAAAGTAAAATGGTAGAAAAAATATTCAAAGAAAACTGGATTATTTATATTAACACAAGACCAAGTAGACTTCAGAGCCAAGTATTAGCTGGGTAAAGGGAATCTTTCTAAAATGCTAAAGAGGTTTAAAGGGGCAAATTTATTAAGAGGTCATAATCCTAAATATAAGTACCTAATAACAAGTCATAAGATACACAAAGCAGAAACTGAAGAACTGCAACTCTATCCACAATTATGGTTGAAAATTCCAAAACCCCAGTAAAAACAGAAAGAAAACCAGTACAGACTTTATCAACCAAGAGGACTTAATTGAAATCTATAAACCACCATGCCAGAATACATAGTCTAGTCAAGCGCACACGGAATAGGGAAAAAAAATAGCAAGCAATAAAAAAATTTTGAGAGTCGGGTAACAGTGGTTCACTCTTGTAATCCTAGCTACTCAGGAGGTTCAGATCTGAGGATCATGGTTCAAAATCAGCCCAGGCAGGAAAGTCCAAGAGATTTTATCTCCAATAAACCACCAGAAAACTGGAAGTTGCTCTGTGGCTCAAGTAGTAGAGCTCTTTAGCTCAAGGACAGCACCCAGGCCCAGATTCAAGCCCCATGACCGACAAAAAAATAAAAATAAAAATAAATAAAATTATGAGGATTCAAATTATATAACATATGAGCATACTATAATTAAATCTGAAGTCAATAATTGAAAGATCTCTGGGAAATAATCAAAAGTAAAAAACAAATACAGCAACTTTTGGTTCAAAGAAGAAATCAAAAGGATAATTAGTGCTTTGAAGCAAACAAAATTGAAACTATTTAATTTGTGGAATTCAGCTAACAAAGGTAAATTCATAACATAAAATACCAATGTGAAAAAGGAAGATCAGCTTCTCTCAAGTCACCTTAAAAACTTGAAAAATAACAGTAAATTAATTACAGAATATGTGGTAGAAATGTAATACATATCAGGCTCTATAAATACTAAAAGGCTACTAAGAGAATATTACAACCAATTTCATGTCAACAAAATCAACAGCTTCCAGGGAAGGATATAAACTTCGAAAGCTACCTTAGAAAGAAATGGAAAGCTAGAATAGCCTTGTATGTTTAGAGAAATTGAATTTTAGTTTAAACAAAGCATCCAGGTCCAGAGAGCTTCGCTTCACCTAACCAACTCTACACCAAAGCCCTTCTGGAAACTGAAGAACCAGTATTACTTTGATACCAAATTTAGACAAAGACATTGCTATGCTTTAGATGTGGTTTGTTCCCAAGGGTTCAGGGATTACAGGTGTGGTCCTCTGATCCATGGGGGTGGGGGGAGGATGCTCAGGGGTGGGATCCATGCAAGGTGGGGCCTCAGGAGAGGGGACCGGGAATCATTTGTCCCCCCACAAAGCTCTGTGACAGGAGGTACTCACTCAGAGCCCAGGGGACACCTGTGCAAAGACACAGGAAAAAAAATGACTACCAAACTGCCTGAGAAAGGTGTCCTTCTGTTACATGTGTATGCCCAGGAATAGCACTGAGGCTGAAGTGAGGAGGAGGACAGTGTTCTAATAGGGAATTCCATGAATACGTGCTGCCTGACCACAAGTGAACTTCCCTTTCAAAGTTAGTAATGGCTATTATGTAATGGAAATTATTGGTCATCATTGCCATAAACTGCTTTGTTAAGTGGCAACTCCTTTGTACACTACTTAAGATAATTAAAAAGAATTTATTGGTAGACAAGTTGACTGCAATGGTCGTAATGAGCATAAACACTGAAATTATAGTTGCTATGGTAGCTATCTGCTGAGTTGTAAAATCACAACAACACTGGAAGGAAAGTGTCCCAATAGTTAAATACTAGTGCTTGAGGGCACCATCACAAGGTAGAGCCTGTTTATTTATGTAGGTTTGTACAACCGATCTGCTCTCCATAAATAATTAACCCTCCCAGAGTTTGTTCTGAAAATGAAGCAATAGTTTGAAACAACCCACCTAAATATCTACAGGGCAAAGAAGCAAAGTCTAGATAGCTCCATGTTTTTCTGGGGTGACAGGAAAGTGAGGTAACAGTTCCTGGCATGTATCTACTGAAGAAAAAAATGTGTCAGTGTGTTCCATTTAGCAACCCTTCCCTTATGACACACAGGCAGTATATTCCTGACCCAAACTTTCTGGTAAACTCCTATGTGAGGTTCTAGTAGATAAGAGTCACATGGAAGCTCAAACATTCTAATGAGAAACATTCAACTATTGTATATAATAACAAACATCACAATTTAACAACCAACTCCCCCCCAGAAGGTCGTATCAACCCAGACATGGAAAAATATCTTCCTGCCACAGGGAGTCCCAAGCCAAGATCTCTGTTCTACTTGCTTAAGAGTCTGAAGTGAATGGGGTGCCTTATTAACACATCTCATCTTGTCACCCTTACCGACCTAGCTTCCTGGCTCATCCTAAGTCCATTCATCAACAGTTTGGGAGATAGATAGTCACGATGAAAAGATCTTAGCCCAAAACAGGGATCAGCTAGTGACAAGGTCAGTAGCCAATCTGATGGATTATGCTGGACAGCCAGTGGGCCCAACAAAGACCATGAGCAACAGCACAGGTCGGCAGAGAGGCTCTTCTGAGTACTTGGCATGGCCCTGGCAAACAGAGGGTACCAGTCTCCTCCCAGGAGCTGCTGGTCTTTCCCACCTGCCCTGCCCCTGGGAGGCTGACTTGAACATTACCCACTTCTGGCTGAGTTGGGTCAATGAGGTGAGCCTGCCAGAGCTGGTCACCCAACAGAACTCACAGCTACCCACAGCGAGCAAGCTAGGAGGGCCCAGCACACCTTCCTCCTCACTCCAGCCCCAGACCAGTGTATTGCAGAAAGAGGCTCAGTTATTTCTGCCAACCTAGATTGTTTGCTTCTGGAGGGAAGAGAGTCTGACAGACCTCTGGCCCTAGATGAAATTGCTAGAATTTAGCACAAAGACTATTTGATATCAGGTGCAGCCCTTGTCACCCTGCTGCATCTGCCCAGGGTCTCCATCTCCCCCAATTTCCATGGCCTGCTGCCCACGCAGGCTTGAGCTGGGATGATAGGCCACCAGGCTTTCCCACTATAGCAAACATATCAGAGCTATCCAGACTACCACAAGATGCCATCCTCAGTTCCATTCCACAGAGAGCCATCCAATGGCCTAGCGCCCCCCCCCCCCCCCCAGCCATCCTCTGGCAGGCTCAGTTTGGCAGCTGAACTGGGCCCCATTTCAGTGATGGCTGCAGAAGGAAGGCGCTCCCACTCCACCCCAAACATCACTCACTCCAGGGGTTCTGAGCCCACCCAGAGGTCACAGATAGCAGCCAGACTGTGGCTCAGTTATCTAGTAAAGCTTGACTACTGTTTGACCCAGGCATGTCTAATAGGCACCTGTATTCTCATGTGTAATTCCTGTCTCTGGGCACTGCTACTCTGACGACTGAAGAAATTATATAGCTCCGGCAGCAAAGAGGTGTTTCTTCTTTTTTTAAAAAAAAACGCCAGCATAGGGTTTGAACTGAGGGCCTTACACTTGCTTGCTCAGATGGTGCTCTAGCATTTAAGCCATGTCTCCAGTCAAGCTTTTTGCTGGTTATTTTGGAAGTGGTGTTCCATGGACTTTTATGTCTGGGCTGGCTTGGAAGTATGGTCATCCAGAGTTGGTAGGATTATGAGCATGAGCCACCAGTGACTGTTCAGATATCAGGGATGTTGTAAATGTGGGAAAACAAGAAGACTGTCTCTTGCTACGGCTGGCATCGTCAGCCATCATTCCCTCTTTGTAGATAAGAAGTCTAGGTGGGGCAGTGTGCTCAGGAGAGACTTCACGTTCTGCAGATGGCTCTGAGCCTGCTCCACTGCCTCATGCCCCAGATGCCTAGGGACACTAAGCAGATGAAGGCACCAGGCACAGTTTGCCTTCCTGCGGACACAGAAGGGACCAGGCATCTCCAAATACCTGAGCAAGGGCACCGGTAATCATCCTGCAGTTGGCACCTGTCCCACACCCAGGTGGAAAGCCACTGGTGATCAGGGACCCTGGCCAGCTCACACTGCTACTCCTGGTCACCTCCACAATGGGGAGAGTTTTCCAGGGTGGCTGCTTAAAAATTAAAATTCCTAGCCGGGCACTGGTGGCTCATGCCTGTAATCCTAGCGACTCGGAAGGCTGAGATCTGAGGATCACAGTCCAAAGCCAGCCCGGGCAGGAAAATCTGTGAGACTTATCTCCAATTAACCACCAGAAAACTGGAAGTGGTGCTGTGGCTCAAGTGGTAGAGTGCTCGCCTTGAGCTGAAGAGCTCAGGGATAGTGCCCCATGACTGACCTCCCCCTGACCCATCCAAAAAGTTCAAATTCCTAATCTCAACCTGTAAGGCCATTTTCCCCTTTCCTGATAACCCTGCGGACATGCTGGAACATCAGCAGAGGCTGAGCCCCCTGATATCACCCTCACACCCAGCTTGGATAGGGGACCCACTGTCTCAAAGAACAGCTACCTCAGCCTCATGCAGCCTCCAGCACACCCATCCTGCAGTATTGTGTGGCATGCAGTCACTCCACAGGCACACTCTACTCCTCAGACCCCAGGACAGGTCTCTTCCATCCTGCTAGTGTCCAGCCCTGTCATGCTGCTGAGCAGCAGCCTCTGTGGACCATATGGCCAGTGGTTGTCATGGCTAACCAGCCCACTGGTGGGAAGCTCCCTTCCCTCCACACCCAGGAAGCAGCAAGGGTTCACTTGCCTGTGCTGCCCAGAGGTGGTCCAGTCGCAGCCTGACATCCACCTGCCTGGCATGCAGGGCCAGTGTGCATGAGAACAGCAGAATGGCCAGGATCGGCTCATAGTTGCGTCCAGCAAGAGCACCACCCCTGGCAGGAGCGAAAAAGAAATGCTAAGTCAGTGTTAAGCTCCCAGGCCAGAGATGGCCATCAACCCCAGAGCTGGGCAGAGAGCCCTCCCAGGCAGTAATGCCCACCAACCACTCCTGGGGAACAGACTCAGGATGAGACCCCCTTCTCAGTGGGGAGTCTAAGGCCCTGCTTGCATCTGGGCTGAAGAGGGGAAACGGAGACGGCACAGAACTAAAAATGTTGCATGTATTTAGTCCACACAAGTTTGCCGATCAGCAGGTGGTGTGCATAGTGTCCATGTTGGCATCATCACTGATAACCCCCCACGTGGGTCATCCCACACTCACCCAGCCCTGGTGTACCCACTGAGCTCCAGAACAAGGATGTAGGACGTGGTAAGCCCCGACAGAAGGATCATCTTTGGCAAGGAGGACACCCGCAGGAATATGGCAAGCGGGAGGGTGCCCACCAGGCAGCAGAGCAAGGCATGATGCGCAGACTCGCAGGGCAGAGCAGGCAGGACGGTGCGCCGGCCGCCTGCTGCCAGGACCACCAAGGAGCTGTTGGACTGGGAGCTCCAGGCCCAGGGCAGGCAGCCCACCTGTGCAATAAAGGAAAGGGAGGCTCAGGAAAGCTACCCATCGGGGAATCCAGATATCCCACAGATTTCTCCCCACGAGGACCATCACACCTCCAAGTGCCTCCAGCTAGGTCTGGATCATCCTGCTGCCACAGACAGCAAAGGCTGGCCGCAGGGCAGGGGAGGGGCTGAAGTAGACCAGATGGTGTCAGTTTTATCTGTTCCTCAGGCCTGGTAGTTCCTTCTGTAACTTCCAGCCCAACACTGACGGAAGGATTTTTTTTTTCTTCCATGTGTGTCTTGAGCTTTTTTACTCAGAGCTAGTGTTTTACCACTTGAGCCACAGTTCCACTTCCAGCCTTTTGGTGGTTAATTGGAGATAAAATCTTACAGAGAAGCCAGGCACCGGTGGCTCACGCCTGTAATCCTAGCTACTCAGGAGGCTGAGATCTGAGAATCTCGGAAACTCTGATCTCCAATAAACCACCAGAAAACCGGAAGTGGCCTTGTAGCTCAAGTGGTAGAGTGCTCTCCTTGAGCTGAGGAGCTGAGGGACAGCGCTCAGGCCCAGAGTTCAAGCCCCACGACCAACAAAAATAAATAAATAAATAAATCTTACAGAGACTTTTCTGCCCCAGCCCGCTTCAAACTGCAATCCTCAGATCTTAGTCTCCTGAGTAGCTAGGAATACAGGCCTGAGCCACTGGTGTCTGGCTAAAGGAAGGTTTTGGTACTCACCACACATCCCTGGGCCACCGAGTAGATTAAGACCACTATGAACACACACAGGACAGTGCGGATCCGGATCGTCAGGCACCCTGGGAAACACTGATGGAGAAAAGCAGCACTTTCAAACCCAATGCTGACTGCCAATGAGATTTATACATATGGCAAAAAATCTAGAACAGAAAGAGCAAGCGGCTCTCAGCAGTCCTCCCAAATCGCTTCTTGCTTCGCCCATTTCCCTTGTCTGCTTTTACCTATTTATCCCCTATCTTTTGTTGCCTGTATTCTAGGTGAAGAATTTACCAAGTTAAAGAAAAAAATCTGGTCTTTAAATGATAAAGAGAGCTACCTCCCCTCTCTGTCTCTGTCTCTCTCTCTCCCTCCCTCTCGCTCTCTAACTTGACTGGCAATCAAATTTGAATGGAATAGCTTGGTATTTTCAAGAAACTGAATTCTCCCCTCTCAGGAGCGACAAGAATTTATGTTCTTCAGTAAGGTTTTTGTCTGTCTGTTTGATGTTTGTTTTTGTGAGATTAGTAAGTGCACTCAGGGCCTCTGGGCACGCACTTTATCATCTGAGCCACACTTTCTGTCCTTTTTGTTTTCATTTGTTTTTCAGATAAGGTTTTGAGCTGTTTTGCCCAGACTATCCTAAATCGGATCCCCAATTCTCCTATCCCCACTCCCATGTGGCTGAGATTATAGGCACATATAGATTATAGGTGTCATCACACCAATTTTCCTAATCTAGGCCTTATTATACTGCAGGCTGGATTCAAACTCACTATGTAGCCCTGGCTGGCCTCCGATTCATGACACTACAGTTGCATATCACAACAGCCAAATAAGTAAGTATTATTATGTTCTCTGTACAGGTTATATACCACTCTTAAGAGAAATTATATTTTACTTAATTTACTTTAAATATAATTTAAAATATTCAACAACTGGGGGCAAGGATAAAAGTAAGACATCCTTATGCACTCACATTCCTAAAAATTAAATTACAGACCACAATGAGTGCTCACGGCACCTTATAGAAAGCCTCAGCTCATGCAGACAAATCTGACCTGGCAGGACGATCTGGTAGTCTGTGCAGTCATCCTACTAACCTCCTGTGAGGTCAGGAGAATAGACAGCTGAGAAGAAGTCAGCACAAACATGAGCAAGCCTACAATCCTAGGTTCTAGGGGTGAGAACAGAACAGACTGCCAAGCAACAAGCTAGAGCAGCTGGCAGATCCCCAAGTCCTATTGCATGTCACCCAAACAATGCTCCATTTCCATTGGTCTCAGCCAGAAGAGCTGAAGTGCATGGCCAGGCCTCAGGCTTTGCTGGCCCTGATCCTCCGTTTCTCTCCGAAATTGATCCGGACCAGGCAAGACACAACTGTAGGCCTCTGCTCTCCAGAGCAGCCCTTCAAGGCTGTTTCTCCAGTACCCATCACAGCCCAGCAGGGGTGTGGCTGGGGATGCAGACAGAGCCACTGGCAGATCTTGATCAGTGATCCACATACCGGCCCTGGCACAGGATTTGGAGTACCATCTGTAGACAAGGACACTCCTTTTGAGAAGGGATCTTGCCCTGCTCACAGGCCACCAAGTTCCCGTGTGACCTGAGCTACCCAGTATGGTCTGGAAGTCATCTGACTCAAAGATGAGGGCATACTCCAGCCCATCACCAAATGCAGATGCCATATACTTGTGTAGGTCCTAAGCACACAAGTCAGTTAGGAAGAGGCCTAAACGCCCATGCCCTCTCTCCAGCTACATGGCCTTCTCTCCCCCAGTCTGTGCCTGCAGTCTCAAGGGGACCATCCTGTGATCAGCTGACAGAAGGAAGAAAAGCCTCAGGCCCCTTGTAGACACCCTTGAAGGAGGTGAAGAAAGGAAGCCCTCCCACTGGGAGAACTTGGGGAGTATGAGCCTCCCTTTGAAGAGAAAATGGTCAGACACATCCTTCCCAGATGCCCATTGCTCAGTGAGCCCATGGGCAAAGTGGTAGGGAGAGAGGTGACAGCTAGACTCAGCCACAAGGACTTCCACTCCCCATGGAGGGCCTGGCTCCGGCTCTGCCTAGTACAGGCATAGAAACACATGTAATTTACTGATCCTACCGGGTCCTGCCATCTGGAAGCACCGGCCTCACTCTATATTGCCATGGCTTCTGGAGACACAGTCATAGCACCTCCTAGGTGGCAGCACACAGGGCTGAGGCAAAAACTCTAAGACTGCACACATGCTCAAACCTGCACCCAACCTAGGCAGGGCTTCCAGTCTGCTAGTAGAAACCACACACACACACACACACACACACACACACACACGAAGAGCCTTTGACAACCAATGGGACAGATTACAATTCTCCTGAGAACTGTAATCTGTCAGCCAAAATAAAGCCCAAGGCTCACACCTGTGATCCTAGCTACTCAGGAGGATGAGATCTGAAGACAGCGAGTCTGTGAGATTCTTATCTCCAGTGAACCAGAAGTGGAGCTGTGGCTGAGGTGGTAAAGTGCCAGACTTAATCAAAAAAGCTAAGAGACAGCACTCAGGCTCTGAGTTCAAGCCCCAATACCAACACACACACACATACACACACACACATGCACACACACACGCATGCATGCACATGCACACGTACACACACATGCACACACGCACGCACACACACACACACTTCTATCAACATAGAAATGTAATAAAATGAATCTGTTTTCTTGTATTTGGGATAGATGCAGTTGTAAAATATTCCCCAGATTTTTCAAGCCAGAGATCACTTGAGCTATCATGTTCTCAGGCTGGTGACCATGTGATCCGATACCACAGCTGGAACTGGTGACTGGGTGACTCTAAGCTCCTCAGCTAGGAGTGCTTGTCTCATGACACCGGATACAGCAGAATCATGTGAGAGCTCTACTCGCAGAGCTGACTTAGCTCTGCAATCTGACGTCCCAACTGTCCTCTTTCACTTTTATTGCTTGTGCCGTGCTTTTCTTTTCTTTTCAGAATTTTATCAAACACACATTGCCTAGACCAATGTAAGGAAGCTTTTCATCTATGATCATCAATAAGAAGAAATAACCCCTGGATTGAGAGATGTTTGTAAACCCTACATCCTGATAAAAGGAAATATTTAAATTCTGTAAAGAACTAGATGACTCAGTGGGAAGAAAACAAGTAATCTGGTTTTCAAATGGGCAAAGGATCTTAATATAACTTTCTCAAATGAATACAGACAAAAATCTGACAGACACACACACACACACAAAATCAATAAATATAAATTAAGAACACAATGAGGCTTCACTTCACTTCAGTTAGAACAGCAGCAGCACCTCAGGTTTATTTATTTCATTAATATTCATCACCCAGACAGACAGACAGACAACAGCCCGAGACAGTGCACAGGACCCAGTGCAGATTGGGCCTTATGAGTATCTACCACACGGAGATTCCATTGACCATGTGGTGTCAGGTGGGGGACAGAGTCACTGTGGGCCCTCCTGTGTCACCTGACCTGCTGTCTACTTGGGCGGAACGCAGCGCAGGCCTAGGGCATTCACTCACACGTACCTGCACCCGGGCGATGTGCAGATATAGGACACAGGCCACCAGGAAGCAGATGGAGAACACCAGCAGGAGCAGGACGGCCACACTCCTAGGGACAGAGGACAGGGAGGTCACTGTGAGAGGGGAGGTAGGTGAAGCTGAGCGCCATCCCCTCCTGCACTGGACCCATGTCCCTAGAGCCCCAGGAGGCACCGCAGTGGATGGTCCCTGGGGACCTGTCCATCGGATTGTCCCCTAGAGAAAGGCACCCAAGGCTCCTGGGTGAGGATCCCCTTGTTTGCCCTTCTCCCACCCCCTCCACCAAAATCTAGCCTAGGTTAGGTATCTTCTATGACCTGGAAGGAAAGTTGCTAAACTCACATTGGTTGATATGAGTGACTGGTTTGTAAATGGCTGCTTTTTGTGGGGGAGGGAGAACAGGAGGGGGAAACTGGGAGAAAATGAGGGAGAGGGTGACACTGTTCAAAAAGAAATGTATCCATTACCTAACTTATGTAACTGTAACTTTTCTGCCCATCACTTTTACCACAACAATTAATAAATAAATAATAAATAAAATGGTTGCTTTTCTTCCTTTTCAAAGTGCACTTTTTCTCATTTCCACATTTACGAATGTGATATGGATTTAGAATCCATTTGTGGGAGGGTTGGCTTCTAGCCAGTTTTAAGGCAGTGGTACATGGTGGTCTCATGGACAGAGAAACAGAAAACACACAATGCCTCCCAGCTGAGGATGTTCAAAAACGCAAATTGACAGTGTGCAGTCCCACACCACAAGCCATCCGAACTCCAACACCACTGACCCATGGGACTGGAGGGTGACCCAAGGGATCCCACAGGCCACTGACCCATGGGACTGGAGTGATCCCACAGGCCAGGCACAATGACAGAGTGAATGGAGTCAATTTTGAACACAAAGAGCACACAGCCACTGACCCCAGGGACCTGGAGTTCTCGGTCACCTTCCTGTGCTATAGTTCAGAGAAGGAGCAGTACTTACTGTGGGATTATCAGAAGGTAGACAAGGCCAAATAAGGCAGCCAGGATGAGGGCGAGGACCACAGCGCTGGTAAAATACTCGTCCTGAAGCTGGTGGTACTGGAAGGAGGAAGGAAGGAGATGGAGGGACATAGAGAGAGAAAGGAGACTTTGGTCAGTCTGTCAAGGCCATTAGCTTCTAGGGCATAGAAACTTCACCAAAGGGAACAAAGGAAGTTAAAACTAGAGTCACTTACCTTTTGTTCCCGTTCAACATGTTTGTACTTCAGGGTAAAAAAATTCAGATCTGCCATCTCCAGCTCCGTCTGCCGGGCCTCCAAGAGGCGGCTGATATACCTGTTGACACGTGTGCCCGGAGTGCTGTACACCACATTTGTAGAGAAAGAGGAGCGGTTTCTGAGTTTCTCTGAGGCTGTTCTCAATGCTCTCCGCTGCAGCCATCATAGGAATAAAGAAATACTGTCAAGTCTCCATTTGTGTGTGTGTCTGTGTGTGTGCCAGTACGGGGGCTTGAACTCAGGGCCTGGTGCTCTTCCTGAGCTTTTTCACTCAAGGCTGGTGCTCTACCACTTCAGACACCACCCCACTTGCTTTCTGCTGGTTAATTGGAAATGAGAGTCTCACAGACTTTCCTGTCCAGGTTGGCTTCAAACCATGATCCTCAGATCTCGGCCACTTACGTAGCTAGGATGATAGGCATGAGCCACCAGTGCCTGGCTTCAGTGTCCACTTTGTGCACTTGTGCACATCCTCCGGATTATATCCGGTGTGCTGTAGGCCGCAGGCTCTCGGGTCCATGGACCTGAGATGTGCTCATGGCAGTGGGGATGAGCCTCTCCACTCTGGGTAGAGGCCCCACACCTGCAACATGAGCACCAGGCACCGTGGCAGGGGCTGCGGGATGGAATCTGTATGTGATGGGACATCACCCAGGGCAGAGCAGCTGTGTATGTAGGAAAGGATGCTCCAGGGTTCCTGTATGAGGAGCCAGCCCACTCCTCCTGAGAGGGAACTAGCAGCAAGAGAAGGGACCATGCCTGTCACTGTGGCTAGTGTGAGATGGACAGACTATGAACACCTCCTCCACACTGCCCTGTGTCACAGGAGGCGAACAAGAAGGCACTGACTTGCCACAAGGAAAATGGAGTCTAATGTGGAGCCACCTGCTGTTATCTTATTACTGGGGCTTTGCAAGCAGGGCCTCCGGCGCCCAACACATTGCAGGAGCAACAAGAACGTTAAATGGATACCACTGCGCAGTCCCAGAAGAGATGGAATAAGCACACTTCTCTTTATTCTAAACAAATGGTAAAGCACTGACAGGGCATGTAAGTCAAACAGAAAACTACCAGCATGGGAACTTTACCACTGTGTGGGAGGGAAGGGTTCCCTAGGGCTGTTATCCATCTTATCCACCCCCATAAGAACCTGGACATGCTCATGAAGATGACAAAATGGGCAAAAGCTGGAAGAAAATCTGTTCAGCCAGGCGCCAGTGGCTCATACTTATAGTCCCACCTACTCAGGAGGCTGAGATCTGGGGATCCTGGTTCAAAGACAGCCTCAGTAGGAAAGTCCACAAGAGTCTTGTCTCCAAGTAACCAATAAAAAGCCATAGTGAAGGTGGAAGGCAAATAGTAGTATATGAACCTTGAATGAAAAAGCTAAGGGGCAGTGCCCAGACCCTGAGGTCACACCCCAATGCTGGCACCACAAAAGACAAATTTTACCCTTGGCAAATGTACCAAGAAAGAGAATCTAGAAACAAACGCCATGCTACTCTTAATGAAGACCATAGAAATGTCTCATACGGTCTCTACTCAGCCACCAAGGCCACGTGGAAGATTGTGAAGAAGCAGGGCCATGCCCCCATTGAGCCAGGCAGAGAGAGAAGTCAAGCTCTCCCTCCATCATGCTGTACCATCACTGATGGCCTAATGGGACATCCGCACTTCTGCCTCTGCCCCCACATTGGCGCCGAGGAAATGGACAGTGTGCAACCTGGACATCCATCCCCCCAAGTCTGGACATCCGTCCTCCACCCCACCTCAGCACGGAAACACAGCACCCACCACACCACAGAGGACAACTAGAGAAAGTCCACGAGATAGATGAGCTTGAGGCTCACCTACAAACGTTCCCTAGAATCCACTTCTCACCAAAAGGAATGATGCATGTGTTCAATGTCATGGGCTACTTCCTTAAAATAATTAGGCATGCTCTACAGCCTACAACTCCTAGCTCAAAGTGTCACAGTTAGGTGTTCAGTCCCCGTTGATCAACAAAGACAATGTCTGCCCCTGAACAGGATATGCGGTATACAATTTAGCATCTGCCTGTGCTGCATTCTGAGCCGACTCTCTACACATCAGGACTCCACTGTGCGTGCACAGCCCCTGCACACGCCCGAAGTGAAGTCTGCCCGCCGCACATTAACAAGCACTCACATGTGACTCCATTTCCCAGCTCTGGACTAGACCTGTGTGTGATATTCCTGCTCCCACACCCCAAAATGAGCAGAACCTCTCCCCCCCAAAAATAGTAGACTCCCAAGAGTATAGACAGTTGAGTGCTTTGGCAAGTCACTTCCCAGAATGAGACATGCTGACTTGCAAAAGCCAGGTCCATGTTCCAGGCATTCCCTAACCTCAGCTGCAAGCTGGGCTCCACCACATGCTGAGGTCAGTCCCTGCACAGTGCTCTGGCAGCACAGGTGAGTGGAGGATGGGAGAGGAGAGCTGGGTGGCTGAAACCAGCCGGGATGCTCCTGAGGAGGGCAAAACAGGCTGTGCAGTGTGTGTCTGTCACAGCCTTCTCCTGACCTGCCAGGCTCTGGTCCACCCCAGGCCCTGCTCATCAGCAAGCTTGAGGATTCCACAATGCCAATGCTATCTGCCCTGCTGTGGGCTTGTTTCCACCAGTCCCAGGCAGCAACAGAAGAGCTGGAATGGGACAGATAGAATGAGACATCAGTACAGCAAAGGCCTTACAGTGGAAGCCAGGCTGGACCCTCAGCATCTGTCTACTAGGAGACCAGGGCCTCAGAGGCTGCAAATGGGGCCAGAGGATGAGAATAGCATTTGGTAGTGTTAGAGCAGCACCTAGTGGTACAGGTTGGGCTGCACATAAAAGCACAAGAGGAAAATCACCTGCAGGCAGAGCTCTTGTGTATAGACCAGCCATAAAGCAGAATAGCAGGCAGTCAGATGGGTGGAAAGGACACAGGAGGGAGCTGCAGGGGACAAGGTGATACTCAGGCTTGATCCAAGGAGTACAACCCATTTAGGACGGCAGCTAGAGGGCCCAGGCTGGAGTGGGACCCAGGGTTAAGCTATTACCACAAAGACCAGAATGTCTGCAGAAAGCATGCGGCAGCATGAGGGAAGAAGCTGCAACCCAGAGTGCTGGCCCTGGGATGGCCAGGCCCTAGGGCAGCTGGGCCCTGAGGCAGCTTGGCCATGGGGCAGCAGGATCCTTAGGGGAGCTGGGCCCTGGGTCATCCGGGGCCCTTGGGCAGCTGGGCAGAGTTTTGAACCCATAGGTGAGGTGGGGGAGTGTGCACCACCTGCCAGGAGGAAGGCGTAGACATACAGACTAAAGACAGAATGGAGATACCAACACTCAGTGCACCCCAGGGAGCAGACAGGTGCAAATCAGGGCGACCACAGCTGTGGCCAGGGAGCTGAGGCAGGTGTCCACCTGCATGCTGCATGGTGGCAGATAAAGATGGATGGAAATGAGGGGTGTGAGCTGGAGGGGAGGGGAGGGAACCTGCCCAGGCTGGAGTGTAAAAGACAGCACTCAGGTGGTGAGGCTGGCAGCCAAGGACAAGAAGAATGGGGAGCTTCTCGGGGTACTAGGGACAGGAGACAGGCTGCAGGCTGTCAGCTGTCTGAGTTGGGCAGCTCCTTCCCACCTACAGAGCCACTCACGGGGATGCTGGAATCAGAGCAGCATACCATCTTGGCTTTCCAGGTAAGACTGGAATATATGAATCAGAGGCCAGCCCACTATGCCCAGGAAGGCACTTGAAGTCTAGTGTCTTCTTCCACCTGTGCCCTTTGATAACTGAGCAAGAAGGATCTCTGTCCCCCCACCTCCACTCCGACTTCAAAGAACTCCCTCCCGGTCAGCTGAGAACTTTGGCTGCCAATTTTCCCTTTTGCCTCAGAATCCACTCATTCTTTCCAATCTTAATTTTTGTTGTTGCTGTTGTTCATCGTGGATTCTTGTGAGTCAAATTTTATTTTCAAATGGTATTTATATCAAGGACCTCTGCCCACGGGGACACTTAAAACTGTGTATCTGACTCACTCAGTTCTCACTCTGGTCCTGTTAGGGAGATGAGTGGGGCCTGGGTGCTGAGGGTGGAATACACAGATTAAATTTGGAAATACCCCGAACAAGACAGACGGAAACTTCTGCCATTATAAACCTGTTACAAACGTATTCATTTTATTTAATTTTATGTGCGCTTTTTAAAATGCACACCTGAACTGACAAGTAAGCAAAGGAAATGATTAGAGGCCAGAGACATGGAGGCAGGAGAGAGTGGCACAGAATGAGAAAACTGAAGGTCTCAGACCTTGAGGACATCTTTCATGCTCATCTGTCAGGCTATACTTCCCATGGGGCAGTCAGAGAGCACCACAGGGAAAAGCGGGGGCATGAAGGAGGCAGGAACCCCTGACCCAAGGCTCTATCCTCGGCAGATCATGCCTGGGGAAGCACTGTGCCAGGGAGATGAAGAGGCTCACCCACCTTGGACTCCATCTCTGAACCCAATGGGAACCTGCTCTGAGAACATGAAAACACACCAGCATGACTCTTGGGTCAAAATTCTTACTATCTAAGACATCTAAAACGCCAACGCCAAGCATTTAGTATAAAGCAGCTTTAGTCTAATGTCTAGATTGCTAGTAGGTATAAAAGTCCAACTTCTTTGATTGGATCCCCTATAAATAAAATTCTCAGAGAATTATTAAAGTTCCTGCAAAGTTGAGCTCTCACACACACAGATCCTCACAGTAATGAGTAGGAGATAACAGCATCTGAATTTGTCTTGAGAATCTTTGAAACTGTAGCAAGAAGTTGGCTCCAAAGGGGTAAAGACAGCACAGGGGAAGGGGAAGGGGAAAAAAGGGTAACTAAGTTTAGCAAACAGAAATGACACAATGACAATACAAACCCCAGAGAGCGGGACCTGAGCTGACTTTGGCATTCCCTTTCTCCTCTTCTCACCATTCAAAGCTCTCCAAACCAGGGGGCTGAAGAGCTTTGAATTCATGACCTTCAATAAAGAAACCCTTCAATAAAGAACCCGGAGTGTTGTTCCAACACCACCAACTTGAGGACAGTAGCCAAGTAGGGTGGTACTCAGGCTCTCCTGGCTGCAGTTTTATCCTGGTTAAAATCTGTCCACAAGGTGGCGCTACAATCCTGAAATTTACTCCAAGCTCTTTACTACTAGCTCTATTGCCTCTCCCACCCACCCTTCAGTGTGGTCTGAGCCTCAGAGTTAAATATGAGGCTCATATGATTGAAGTAGACAATGAGAACCCTCATTTGTCCCACAGCAGAAGATAAGAAGATGAGTGACCTTGACCAATCCAAGAAGACAGAGAATCCTGGTGCCCACCAGAGTCCACAGAGGACAGTTCTCCACACCTCTGCATTCCAGTCAGCCCTGAACATCCCCATGTTAATCAGTAACTACAGAGGAGTTTGGACACCTATGGAAAATGGGATTATAAAAATTGCTTAGAGGAAATGGAGATGTTTCTGGAACAAGAAAACATATCTTTTAGAAAATCTCAGGGAGACAAGAAGAGGGAAAATATCTATCTATCCATCCATCCATACATATTCCTATCAGGAGAATAGGATGTCAGAAAAGAAATAGTCCAAATAAAAGAAAAGACTTAAAGAGTTCAAAGAAAAATGTTAATGTGTTTGAAGAAATTTAAAACAAAACAAAAAAAAAAGAAGTGTTGGATGCTAAAGTTGAAGAACGTTTCAGAAACAGAGGAAGCAGAAAGGAGAATTAGATCACTTTAGGAGCCTAATATCCAAATAATAGGAGTTTCAGAAGATAAAAGAAGAAAAAAGTGGAAGGCAAAAATCAACAAAATAATTCCTACACATTTCCAGAGGTGGAGGCACTAAGTCCATGAGTGCCTTCTAGAGTATAAAGAAAAAAAAGATCACAGAATAGGCACACCCTAATGCAGGCTCATGAACACAGGCCGTGAGAATGGATCTACCAGGTTCCTATGCCTGAGAACACACAGAAGAGTCACGGCAAAGGGTCAAGGATGGACAGGCTCTGCTGGCCTCGGCGGCAACTCTGGAGATCCCAACCTAGTGCAGCAGATCATCTAACCTAGTGAAGCAAACCAACGAAGGAGGAGATGCCAATAGCAATGGACCAAATGCTCATGATCTCCAAAGTCCTCGTGTTGAAATTCTAACCCTCGATGTAGTGATATTAGTAGGTAGGACTGATTAGAACTAGATGAGGCCCTGGTGGAATTATGCTTTTATAAGGAGAAGAAGAGACATTAGCACCCTTTTTCACATCCATGTGAGGACACAGAAAGAAGACAGAGGCTACAAGCCAAAGGGAGCCCTGCTGACTGAACTTCCAATCTCTAGCACTGTGGGGATGAAGGGCTGAGGTTTAACCTTGCCAGACTGAGATATTTTCTTGTGTCAGCCTGGGCACACTTGAGATCAACAACCAACCACACCCACAGGCTGCAAATCTTCCCAGTGCAAGAGGCCAAAACACCTTCACATCCACAAAGGTCTTGTGTGGTCAGCTCTTGGAGTCTCCTGTCCATCAAAAAGAGACGGAATAAAAGGAAAGGAGCCCGCGAGGTGAACAACAAGCAATCAACCATGGGAGGGAAGGGAAATGGTGCCACAGTAGCCCAAGGTTGGGAAAGGGCAGCTGGCCTGAGACTAAAGTGGCCAGGGAAGGGGAGGGTCGGGGAAGAGAAGGGAGAGGAGGAAAGGGGAGGGGAGGAGAGAATGGAGTACAGACCAAGTCCCCCGTGGACTCCTGCAAAGCCAGGAGTGGTCACTCTCACCTTGTCATCGTCCTCACAGGTCATGACGTTGGAGAAGGGGATCTCAGCCTTGAACATCTTCCGGCAGTGCATGAGCTGCACCAGCAGGTAGCAGACAGTCTTGAACTTCATCCTCTTGGCAGGTTTTATATCTGACAGAATCAGGCCTGGAAATATCTGTCCAAACAACAGGCACAGAGAAATGTTCTCAATGATGCATATGGAAGACTCCCTCTCAGGCTGGAAACAACATGGCCCTTGTGGCAACAGGGGCTCTGGGGCCCTGGGATCTCTTTGTTCAATCCCTCCCATGAGCCAGGCCTTGGGGAGCCCAGCAGCAGGTCCCAGAACATCCAATTCCCAAACAACACCAAAGGTCTTGAAAACCTAAAGGATGCCTCAGACCTGATGCAGAAGGGAAGGAGGTTTGGGACCCAGGATGGAGATTGTAAAAGACATCCCTCTGTGGCTTCTGTCACAGCTGAAGAAGAGGAGAGAGGCCACAGGCCAGGAGGCTGAGTGGAGGATTTTATACCTTGTGAAGCTGACAGTACTGCATCTCATACTGCAAACATCATGGCTCTGATCTGCATTTCGGATTAATGCCCTGCCCTTGGACTTGGACTTCTCTAGACCGAACGAGGCAGTGAAGAAGTGGGACCCTAAGCCAGACCCAGGCATAAATATACGAATCCTGCCCTAAGTGAACCCTGTGCCCCACAATCTCGTCTCCTCCATTTCAGGATGCCGTGCTCTTAGCCCAGTCTGGGCTCACCTCAAGGTGGAGAAGGACAGGAAGTGGTCCAGTCAGGAGACATCCCCATATCCGAGGTTTCCTACTCCCTGATGTCTCTGATTGGCCCCCCTGCCCCTCATGCAAGAGGCAAAGCCCTCACTAGGAAAGCCAGTGGGACACCTCTCCTTACGTCAGCAAGTTCACTGGCTAAGAAGTAGTGTCGGGAGGAGGGGAGGAGAGCAAGGTGTCTCTAAAGCTTCGCCCAAACCAGGCCATCTAAGAACCAATCAAATGAAGGTGTCCAGTGCCCACCTTCCTCCGATGGGATGGTACAATGAAGAAGGTCTCGATGTTGTGAGTTTTCAGGAAGCTGTTCCTCTCATGCCCGTGGCCCGGCTCTACCTCATAGTCCCCATTCAAGCACGCGAGGGTTGTCTTTGTGATATGGACCTTCCTGTGATAAAAGAACACAGCGATGGGCATGGCATTGTGAGCCCTGACGCTCAGGGCTCAAGGAGGGGCCATGGCAGAGGCTCTTCTGTCAGGGGCAAGCAAGGTCCCTGAGGAGGACTCACATTCCTAGGCATGGTCTGCATGCACATCTGCACAGGTGAGCAGGGAAGAAAGGAGAGACAGAGGCAAGCACAGAGGAGGAGTATGCCAGGAAGGCAGAGGGGACAAAGGGCTGGAGGGGAAGAGATAGGAATCAAAGGAAAGGAAAAAAATGTTCAAAAGGATGAATGGAGAGAACGAGAAAAGAAAAAGCAGAGCGAAGGGAGGAAGAGAAAGACAACAGGAGGAAAGGGAGCTGCTTTCCAGAGTATCAGGGCCAGCCCAGTCTGCAGTAGCATGTCAGGGCTGGGTACCAGCCAACCATGTGGGTATTGGGACAGTGAGATGGAGTGTTCCTGGGGCCTGAGGACTTTGCAATGCTGCATGCCTCTGGATGAAGGCAGGAAGGTCCCATCAATGAGCATCACCTTAACAGAAAATGCTAACTCTGCCAGGCACTGGTAGCTCATGTCTGTAATCCTAGCTACTGAGATCTGAGGATCTGAGGCACTGGTGGCTCATGTCTGTAATCCTAGCTACTGAGATCTGAGGATCATAGTTCAAAGCCAGCATAGGCAGGAACATATGTGAGTTTCTTATCTACAGTTAACCACCAGAAACCGGAAGTGGAGCTGTGCTTCGAAGTGGTAGAGCACTAACCTTGAGCACAAGAGCTCAGGGACAGTGCCCAGGCCCTGAGTTCAAGCCCCTTGACTGATTAAAAAACAACAACAACAACAAAAGCAAACTCCAAGAAACAAATGAAACACCTGTAGCTTCTGCTCCTTGGCCTGGAATGAGCACATGGGCTGAAGGGGCAAAAAGCAAGCTCCCTGGTGTTCCAAGCCATGCCTGCCAACTTGACTCGTCCCTGGACCAACTGCTTTCCCTGCAGGAGAACACCTCCACTTTAAACTCTCCAGCTGGCTGAGAATGAAAGCCAAGCCAGGAGGCCCTCTCAGGTGGTGGCAGGCTTGGGGGAAGAGGTTCCAGGCTCTCAAGGACTCTGTGAGGGGACAAAGGGCAATGTGGTAGCTACTTTATGATCCTCAGAGGTGGGGTGTGGGGAGAGGAAGGGGTGGGAAGGGAGCTTCCAGTCCCTGGGGGTCCAGAGTCACAGGGCTCTCTATACACACTTGAGAACAATGAGGCTGAGCAGCAGGAGGCAGAGAGACAGTCATTTGTGGAGGTACACAGTGCCTGGCACAGCTCCTCTTCTCCCCCGGCCCCCCACGTCCTGCAGACATGCCCTAGGCCTCGGCAGGGCCCCAGGGTGGGCAGACATGAGTTGAGCAGGATCTGGTGGTAGGCGTGGTAGGCACAGGCCAGGATTCTCTGAGGGGCCCACATGTGTCCTCTGGAGCAAAGCCTTCATGAGCACTTGAGCAGCCACAGGCAGCTGCCAAGCGGCCAGCCCTCCGCCCACGCTGCCCTGACTCACCCTGGCAGGCCAGCAGCTTCCATGACGTTGGCCAGTGTCACGTCATTGGACCACACATCATACTGCCACTTGCGCAGGCCCAGGACGCCACAGAGAACCCTGCCGGTGTGCAGCCCTACTCGCATGTTCAGATCCACCTCGGTGGCCTCCGCCACTGACCTGCAACACAGCACAGGGCATGAGCCGGGGCTCAGCCTCCACAGCCACCGTGACTGGCCTAGGCCACGCACGTCACCCTGGCTGCACAGTGTGCACGAGGTCAGGATGGGATGGCGTGCTGAGGTCTCCTGGCCCGGTCCATGGATGGCAGTGCTTCCTCCGCCCCAGACAGGGTGCTCTGCTCCGTCAGTGCCCACACTGGCTCTGTGGGCTCCCTCTATGGCCTCCCCTGGCCCCTCCATGCCAAGAGTCTTCAGAGAGAAAAGTGAACCTAGGACCTTAACTCCTATCACCAAGGGAAGGGGCCTTGGGGAGAGCAAAGGCAGAGAAAAAAGGTGTTGGATGACTGACTGACCTGCTCCCGATCCCTCCCCCCACATCTTGCTGCCAGCCCAACCAATGTCAGACCCACCAGTGCCAGTCCCCAGAGCCTCAGTTGCCTTGCATGTACTCCAGCTCTGTCCATGCTGGCTCTGATAAGCAGTGAAATCACTTAAGCTCCATCCCAGTGCACAAGAAAATGGCCAGCTGCCTGCTAGCTCTTCCTGTTAACTCCTTCTGTTACACCACACATGGAAATGCCAGTGAAGGCTGACAAAGGACTCAGGGGCACAGTGCTCGCTCCTCATCACTGTTGCACCCGACAGTGGTGGTTAAGCAAACCTGCTCAGCCTTCACGGCGTCCTCAGCCCTGCCCCACATTCTGTCCTGTGGTCCCCTTCAGAGGACTCACAGCCAGGTGCCAGGGTCACACACAGTAATCCTAGCTACTCAGAAGGCTATGATCTGAGGATCCTGGTTTGAAGCCAGCCCACAAAGGAAACTCCATGAGACTCTTATCTCCAATTAACCACCAAAAGGCTAAAGTGGAGCTGTTGCCCAAGTGGTAGAGCATCAGCTTTGAGCCGAAAAATGAAGGCACAGCGTCCAGGCCCTGAAATCAAATCCCAGTAAGCATAAAGACTGCTACCACTACTACTACAACTAATAATAACAGTAACAATAACAACAACAACATGAGAAACATGGACCACCTCTGCCATACCTGAGAAGACTGTGTCTGGCTCACCTTTTTACTGACTCCCTTTTGAACAGTGCCCATTCCACTCCCATTCTGGAACCCTGACTGAAGGAGCACACCCCCATAGCCTTCCAGCCTCCGCTCAGTGCCCACAGGCACCCTCCTGGGCTCTTCTTACAAGCAGAAGGATCTCTGTATCACTACCCATTCACTTCCACCCAAACCATAGCACCCAGAGACACCCTGGTTGTCGACAGATGGCCTCTGTATTCAACCACATTCAGTGGCAGAGCCGATACATCTTAAGTTGGAATCTTGGAACGCTGAATGCAAGGTTAGCATCAGTAACCTCAGAAGTATGCATGCTTTCCAGGTGCTGGTGGCTCATGCCTGTAATTCTAGCTACTCAGCAGGCTGAGATCTAAGGATTATGATTCAAAGCCAACCTGGGCAGAAAAGCTCAGGAGAACCTTACCTCCAACTAACTAGTCAAAAGCCAGAAGCAGAAGAGATGTAAGTCAAGTGGTAGAGCACTAGCCTTGAATATAATAGCCAAGTGAGAGCTCACGGCTCTGAGTTCAAGCTTCATTACTGACATATACACATGCATGTACATACACACACACACACACACACACACACACACACACACACACACGGAATGTGCACCATTCAGACTGACAAAAATTACTTTGAAGTTAGTTGATTGCTGTAAGATCTATTTTTATACATGTTGAATGGAATTTTCAAATTTTTACTTTTTTCCCTAGTTGCCTGTTAATCTCCAGTAAGAGATGAAGACACAAATTCCTAGAGTTAAAATGTATACTTTGCAATCCAAAAGAGAAAAAGCATATGAGAATATACAGATGACAAAAGCTGCTAATGGCAGTCAGGTGCCCTGTGGACAAGGCAGACCCATGCCCACCCAGCCCATCTCATCCTCTGCCTTTCAAACCAGCCCCACAGTGTCCCTGTGGGTTGGACCATGCTCAGCCTCCATGCAAGGCCACGGAACCTCCCGTGTCCACCGGTGCCGTCCACCAACACACTTCATCTCCAGCCTGCCTGCACGTCTGCCTCCCATATGTCAGTGCTGGCACTGCTGGGTCTGTAGTTAACAGCTCAGATCCTTTCCAAAGAAGTCATGCATCCAGAGCTCCCAGAATCCTTTCCCCAGAGATATCTAAGCTGGCTTTGCTTGGCTTTAACAAACCTCCAAGCTCAACTTCCAAGAAACTAGAAAGTATGGTCATTTTGCCTTTATTTGGCATGTATGCATGGGTATGTGCGTGTGCATGCACATGCATGTGTGTGTGTACACGCATGTATTGGCAGTTCTGGGGTCTGAGGGTCTGAACTAAGGAACTCATGGTTGCTAAGTTGGCACTCTATCATATGAGCCACTCTTCCAGCCCTGCCTTTTGCTTGTTATTTTAGAAATGTAATCTAGAAATGTAATTAGCCTGGGCTAGCCTCAAGTAACTTCACATCTCAGCCTCCTGATTACAGGTATGAGGGCTGGGCCTGTTTTCAGGTTCACTTATTTATCTCAAGTATTTTCAATGCAGAGAAAAAGCCAGACATACTCACAAGGCTGCAAATCTGTAGCCCTGACCATGGCTTCAGTGCTCACCCCAACAGAGTGCAAACAAAGAAGCAGTGCTCCTGAGTCACGGGGCCCCTACCAATCCCCTGCTATAAACAGGTTCTGACAAAGCCAACACACAATTATGACTGCACTATACTCAAAAATAAAAGGATGGATATGTGCACTTTTGTTCATCCATTCAACAGACACCTACTGAGCTCTCCCCCTGAGCCATTATCACAGCCCCGTGGCTACAGCTGAGCACACAAAAGAAAAATCAAAGGGAGCAATGGACACTGCAGAGGCCAATTTACTATTGTCTAGGCAGAATTTTCTAGAAATGGTGATCACACACACAACTGTAACAGTGCCAGGCTCCAGTGGAACATGGAAGAACGGAGCAGATGGTCTCCACCCAATATATCCAAACTCTTGGTCTCAACTCTGCCTCCTCACTCCCCTGTGGAGCCTCAGCCTCTCCATCCATAAAACTGCAATTTTTCAACCTGGACCACACAGGCACAGAATCTCTAGATGCCCTAAAATGTTAAGGCAAGCCAGGTAAGTATAGATACGAATTCATACAAGCACCCTCTACCCCACAGAAATCCATCCTCAATATATTTACAGGGCTGGCTCTGAAAACTAAACTCCAATAACAAGGTGATCACACAAAACAAGATCAGGTCTGATAGGTGGCATGTGCACACAAATACACACACACACACACAATCTACAACAGATCACAAATGATGCAGGACACAGTGAGATATGGTTTTGTCACATGCTTAGGTCCCAGGGGGGTCTTGGCACCACAGCCTTTCTGCGGCATTTAACTAGACTTGCAGACCGGCAGAGATGCCTAATGGGCATGCAGCCCTATGAATTACATGAAGCTGAGGTGAGGTGCACCTGTAACCACACAAAGCCACAGATTACCAGCCATTGTTTCCTAATCCAGAGTCTATCCATCGCTTCCTAACCCAAACTCTCTTCTTTCTCCCTTGCCTAATGATAAGAGGCTAAAATCCATGCAAAGATGTTCATCCAGAACTTGTCCACCTCCGTCCTAGATGAGTTGGCTTACCAAATACTTCTACAGCTTGGCTTGGTTTCAAGCCCTTGTTAAGCAGCAAATAACAGACAGGGTAGACAGCAGTGTGATGACATGATGTCAGAACTAATGTGACATATGACAACATATATATAATATGGTCACAGTATGGTATTTGCCATGATATGACATGTGATTGGTATGATCACTAATGTACTAGATGAAATGATAGATAATTGGCAGGGCCTATAAATATATTAGATGACACATATGGCATCAGATGGCCTATAGCAAATGTGATATAACATGTTACAGATGACATCCTGTGATGACAGGACATTGACACAATATGACAGGACATAGGGACACGTCATGTGACATATGATACCATGTGTTGTATGACGTGTCATATATGATATGAGATCCTGAGCCTTCTCCAAGCCAGGACTCCTTCCTTCCACTTCTTTCCTGTTCCCCTTCCTCCCTTTTTCCCCAGGTCTAGTCCAGCACTTCCTCCAGTTTGTTCCTTTTCTCCAGGGCAGTGGCTGTTTATCAGTCACTGGGGGTGGGGGGGGGGACTTTACCATTCAGTTCTAGAGCACAATCCAGACCTTGGGATCTGGGCACAGAGCAGCCTCACTAGAGACTCCCTGACTGGAAGGGCTGGTTTTGCTCACTGTCCCTGCTTCTCAGGATGCTCATGAATCTGGCTCCCTCCTCAGGCCTCCTCTCACTAGCTACAGAATGACCACTGGGGTGGCCTGTAGCAAGCTGTGGAAGCTGAGCTGGGTCAGGGTCTCGCTCATCTGCACAGCCTCGACAGAGGTGATATTCTGTGAGTTCTTGCACCCAAAACTGCTTCATCACATCCTCCCCCAGACATTTCTTGCGCTACTGCTTTCCATTCCAAGCATAAAACTTCATGCCAACTACTGTTAACCCATCTCACTGGAATGTGTTGAGATGTTTGAGTTTGGATGGATCTTCCATCTGTCAATCTGCAGCTCCTCACCTCCAACTTGATGTTCAGCTCTCTATCCATCTTTGATAAGGACAAGCAAGGCCAACCAAGAAATCAGCAGGCTGGGCCTTGCTGTTGTCCTAATATGCCAGTAGGCCTCATATGCCTGGCCCAGCCATTTCTTCCCACACAGTACCAGAAACAGAGACCAGCCTGGAGAGACCAGCATCCACCCCCTTCCTTTGCAGGGGACTCAGTCAAACTTAGGCCAGCCCTTTCTGAATGGTTTACTGAGCTCAGCTACAAAGGTCATTTCTTCCTGACCTCTCAGGTATACCTGACAACACACAGGAATCCTGTGGACAAAGAAAAATATATCACAAACTGACTTCCCAACACTCACTTCCCAACCCAGGTGAGAATGTCTGATGCAGACCCTCCTGCTGCTGCCTTGGCTCCCCAGCACTGGACAGACCTCTGCACAGCACAGCACTTACGTGATGGTGTCGATCATGTCCAGGCCCATCTCCACACAGCAGTGGGCGTGGTCGGCCTTTGGCTGGGTGAGGCCCGACACACAGTAGTAGCAGTCCCCAAGGATCTTGATGCGACGACAGTGGTTCTCCTTCAGGAAAGACAAAGCACGTGGTCAGTGAGGCCTGGCTGGCCGGCCTGGGCAGCTCTACCTCATCTCTCTCCATGCTGATGACCGCAAAGCATGTGGACAACTCACCATGCTGCTGTAATGGCCTCTGATGGCAGGGACCATACTCATGCTGCTGCTCTCTTCACTACCCCCAGTCTCCCATCCATCCTCACCAGTTGGCCAACCCTAGGGCCAGGTGGAAGGCTACTTCTGTGAGGAATTTCTGTAACGCCCCCACCCCACCCCAAGAGACTGGCACACCCTTCTAGGTGTCCCCTGGATAGGTCCTCTCAACCTTACCACCCCTGGGGCACACATTCAGAAAGCACCATCATGAAGGTTCACTTTGTGAATGGCCTTATACTAAGCTACCAAGAAAAGAACTGGAGTATCTCTTATCTGAAATGCTTGGGACCACAGGGTTTCAGCCTTGAGAATTCTTTTTCTTTTTCAGATTTTAAAATACTTTTCAGATTTTCTTGGTTGAACATCCCTCATTCAAAAGTCTGGAGCCTTCAAATGCCTCAGAATCCTAGTTTTTAATTGTGAACATGACATATAAAGGTTCAGTTTCTAGCTTTTCCGATTGGAATGCTCAATCTGTCATAGAGCCTCTGTGGACCATCTGCCCCAACCTCAACCAGGCAAAAGAGAATGGCCTTGGGCGCCCTCTGCTGAGGAAAGCAAAGGGAAGCTGGCCAAGAAGGGGACCAATCAAAACCAAACAGGCCCAGGAATCTATTTAGTAAAGTCTCCACAAGATGTGTCCCAGAGATGTGTGGAAAAATGATGAGGGAAGAGGGAAGCAGCTAATACAAAAGCACAGATGAGGGAAAAATGTTAAAGAGTAAAAATGGAAAAAAAATTTAAGATACATTAAGGAATTAACCAACTGCAATAGGTTTATTAATTATGTGAGAAAGATCAATATGAACTGCCTTGCATTTCTTTCACGTATTTTGAGATGGCAATCCACAGGGCCGCAGGCAGGACCGCTGTGTAGAGCTGTTCTTCTGTTGGGGGAATGGGTTGCATGGGTAGAAGAAAATGGTGGATCCAAGGAGGCTTTCTCTGAGTCCCTGCCCCACCCATCTGCCTAGGAAAGTTCACAGGAAGAAAGAGCTCAAGGCTGGTATGACACCTGGCCAGCCAGCCAGCCATGACCTTCTGTCTTTCTGCTGGCTGCTTCCTGGAAATCTGTTCTGGTCATTTCATCCCTTTGCCCTTCCATAATTTACATTCTCACCCATCCCAGCAGCCTAAAGCTCAAAATGCTATTTAGGCTTCAACCATGTGGCCTATTCTTTTGTGTCATATATGTGGTGCATGGCCCCTATATTTCTGCATGTTAATAAATGTGTATGAATTTTCCTTCTCTCTCTCTCTCTCTCTCTCTCTCACACACACACACACACACACACACACACTTGCTCGCTCACTCTTTCTCTCTCTCCTCTCTCTTTCTCTCTCTCTTTTTTTGTTGTTGGTAGGGCTTGAACTCAGGGCTTGGGTGACGTCCCTGAGCTCTTTTGCTCAAGGCCAGCACTCTAGCACATGAAGCCACAGCACCAGTTTTCTGGTGGTTATTTAAGCCACAGCACTACTTCAGGTTTTCTGGTGGTTACTTGGAGATAAGTCTCATGGACTTTCCTGCCCAAGCTTGTTTCAAACTGCAATGCTCAGATCTCAGCCTCCTGAGTAGCTAGGATGACAGGTGTGAGCCACTAGCACCCAGCTTGGAATTTTCTTATGACCCCATTGTTAGTTTATTTCACAGACTAAAATGATGGTACCTTCAGAAAAAGAAAAGAAAAAATTAAACTTATCCTACACATTTTTCTATTTGAAGACGGTCTAACAACTTGGAGGCCTGGTTGGGTGACCCTGACAGCTCACCTTCCACATGCAGACCTACTGAGCTCCAGTCCACCTCCTCAGATGCCTCTTAGCTAGTATCTCACATGGGATCTGCCCTGCCCAAGTTACCCTGGTACAGGTACCAGACGACTAGAGACCACATCAAGCGCTCAAGAAGATACACAGATTATTCAAAGCTGCTAAACCTGCCTTACTCCAGCCTCCCTCTAAAACACACAATAAGGATATGCTTCCTTGTTCCTGGCTGCTGGTGCCCTCAGTGCTTACCTCAGGAGCCCATATAGGCAAGAGAGCATGATGCAGCTCTTACTGGAGGACTGTGATTCAATGACATTGGCCTCTCTGCTCACACTATCTAAATTAAAATCCCATAGAACAATCAAGACCTATGTCCCTCTCATATGTCTCCTGACTGAGACAAGCCCGTCAGAACACATATGACAAAATGAAAAGATGATTTTTAAGCCGGGCGCTGGTGGCTCACGCCTGTAATCCTAGCTACTCAGGAGGCTGAGATCTGAGGCTCGCGGTTCAAAGCCAGCCCGGGCAGGAGAGACCGTGAGACTCCTATCTCCAATAAACCACCAGAAAACCGGAAGTGGCGCTGTAGCTCAAGTGGTAGAGCGCTCGCCTTGAGCTGAAGAGCTGAGGGACAGCGCCCAGGCCCAGAGTTCAAGCCCCACGACCGACAAAAAAAAAAAAAAAAAAAAAAAGATGATTTTTAGACAACAGGGATAAACCCAACCCATCTGGTGTTATAAATGATGTGGAGATTTGATGCAAATAGTAAAGCACCTGCCTTGCAAGCACAAGGCCCTAAGTTCAAACCCCAGTGCCATCCCTTAGAAAAGAAATGCTGTGCCTCTCAGGCTGTGGTTGGGTGTGATAATGGCATGGTAGGGGTAGTGGTAGAGGGTGGGCATCCTCAGACAGTAGAGCTATGCAACCTCTACGGGAAGAGAGGTGCTGTCTAGTACCTGGGAGCAGGTGGAGGGCAGACACCAAGCAAGACTGGCCATAATTAATGGCTGCTGAAGCTATGCTATGGAGCACGGGGCTCATGACAGTATACTATCTTGGTGCGTGTTTGAAGACTCCCTCAATAAGTTCTAGAATGTGAGTCTCTAAAGTGCAGGGGTAGGTCCTTACCTGTTCATGCTTTATCCTATCATCTAGAAAAATGTGGAGTCTACAGTGGGGACTCAGTAGTTGTTTTCTGAATGAATACACACAAGAATGACTTTTCTATAACACAACTGAGAACAAAATACCCAAAAGAACAACTTTAGAGTTAAGATTTATTTGGCTTAAAGTTTTCAGAGGTTAGTCCACCAACTGTGGGAAGGGCATGGCAGAGTAGCACAGTTAGCATCATGGTAGCCAGGGTGCATCAGGAATACAGGAAGAGGCCAAGGAAAGAGAAAGCCAAGGGTACACCCCCAGGGACCTATTTCTTCCACCAAGGCTCCACCCTAAAGATTCCCAACCCTCCCAATATAGCACCATCATCTAGGAACCAAATGTTCTAAACATGAGGCTGTAGGGGGACATTTCACATTCAACACACAACTATGTACACTGGCCACCCCAGTGGATGGACTGGGTGGACACCTTTCTAGATCATTAGAGCATTGAAAGTCCTCCCCATCTAACTAATCTGCTTCTTGCACCAGCCTCATCTCATGCTTTCCCAATCAGCTCTTTCTCTCACATCATAACCATGGTCTCCTTCATAGCCAGTCTTGTATATCTGTAATTCCAACTTCCATGAAAAGCCTTCTCCTCTCCACACTCTCTACCTTCAGCCCATCTTCCTGAAAATGCACCACGTTCTCCCTCCACGCAGCTACCAGGATGCTTGATTTTTCACACTGACCAGACCACATGAAGCTTCTTATTCAGCAAATTCTTTGTTATGCAGCAAAGTCCCCTTCCTGAGCTGTAAGTACCAGGACTATAGTCCTCATATGATTTGCCCGACAGTACCATACAAGCTTGCTACAAGTACCCCATTAACAGAGAATACAGCTCACCAAAAAGTTCACTGCAGGCCTCCAATGTGGCCACATTATTTTTTTTTTTGAGACTATGCTGATCCTGGGATTTAAACTCAGGGCCTAGGCACTGTCCCAGAGCTCAAGGTTTTAGCTCAAGGCTAGTACTCTAGCACTTAAGCCAAACTTCCACTTCCAGCTTTTTTGGTGTTTAACTGAAGATAAAATTCTCACAGACTTTCTCTCCAGGGCTGGCTTTGAACTATGATCCTCAGATCTCAGTCCTTTGAGTAGCAAGAATTACAGGTGTGAGCCACTGGTACCTGGCACAATGTGGCCACTTTTTGGTCAGTCATAGGGCTTGAACTCTGGGCCTGGGCACTGTCCTGGAGTTCTTCAGCTCAAGGCAGTTGCTCTACCATTAAGCTATAGTACCACTTCTGGTTTTCTGGTGGTTAATTGGAAAGAAGAATCTCAAGGACTTTCCTGCCTGGGCTGGCTTTGAACTGTGATAGTCAGATCTCAGCCAACTGAATAGCTAGGATTTCAGGTGTGAGCCAGCGGTACCTGGCACACAATGTGGCCATTTTTTAAGTGGCTCACAAGTAGAGCTTGTGAAGATTGTTCTGGTGCTTTCTTGTATTTCATAGGCAGGGAAACTGAGACATGAGAAGTAAGGATGATGTGGCTATGTCCCAGGGTTACCTGCTGAACCTTGACCTCTGAATCTAGGCTAATAAAGGTTTCCATGAGGGCAACATATGACAGGTCCTTAGGAACAGCAGTGTGTGTGTGTGTGTGTGTGTGTGTGTGTGTGTGTGTGTGTGTGTGTGTGTGTGTGTGTGTGTGTGTGTGTGTGTGTGTGTGTGTGTGTGTGTGTTTGGTTGGTCTGGTCATGGGGCTTGAACTCAGGACCTGGGCACACTATTCCTGAGCTTTAGTGCTCAAGGCTAGCGCTCTACTACTTTGAGCCACAGCTTCACTTCTAGTTTTCTGGTGGTTAATTGGAAATGAGTCTCACAGACTTTGAAGCTAGCCTGGACTAGCTTCAAACCACAATCCTCAGATTTCAGCCTCATAAGTAGCCACCAGTGCCCAGCTAAGAAT